TCAGCCACCATTCTCCTGCTGCCAACATGGCTGATCCTTCATCTCCTGTGTGTCCTCAGAAGTCGCCTTGTAAACAGGCCTTCCCTGGCTTTCCTGTTTAAAACCTCAATACCCATGACTTGACATTCCACGGGCCCCTCCTCAATCTCATTTTCCCCAATGGCATCTAAAAAGTACATTTGATATCTATTAATTTTCTCCCTACTGGATAGCCAGTGAGGGGCACCTATAACACCCGGAAGGGTCTTTCCTGGCATACAACAGGACCTGCACAAGTGTTTGTTTAATGAATGGATAAATATTTGAGGAAATGGTTCAAGAAGACTGACTGCCTGACCCTTCGTACCAGAGGGCACAGAGGTCCAAGCCTGTGCTCTGCCCAATGGCTCCCCAGCCTGGAAAACTTGCCTTTATGATTTTTTGGGCACATGGTGCTGAACTGGGGAGCTGGAAGGGCTGGCTGTGTGGTCAGAGGTGGGTGAGTGTTTTGCCTTTCTCATTTGTGTTGCCCACCATGAACCCCCTTCCTCCTCTGTAGCCTCATGCCAGGCTGAAGGTTGATGGCGCCCTGTGCTTTAGCATTAAGTACTTTTCATAGCGTTACAGACAGCAAGGACCGTCCAAAGATAAGCGTGGCTGTCTTACTGCTTCTCTGGGCGTTCTAAGCCACCCTAGAGACATTAATAACTCTTACAGTTAGTTCTATGAAAGCTGCTGAAGAGAAGGCAGCATGAGCTTGCTGTGTGTGGCCCCGCGCTTGGCAGCACCATCCGGGATGAGCCTCACCACACCCTGGGGGCAGGACTCAACAGGCTCCTTTTCTCCATAGTCCTTTTGGGTCAGGGTTTTATCTCTTTTGAGAAAGGCTCTCACTATTTATTCCTGCCTGTCTTAGCCTTGAATTCACAGAAATCTGCTCGCCTTTGCCTCCTGAAGTTAAAGTATGCTGAAATTAAAGGTGTGTGCTACCATGCCAAGATCTCTCTCTCATCTGAGACTTACGCTGGTCTGTTAACTCTCACCCCTTGCCAATTTGGGACAGTTTTTCTCTTATTATTTGTTATTTCTCTTATTATTTTTCTCTTATTATTATTTCAATATTTTCTCTAAGAATGAGCATACGTCTAAAATATTTATAAAAGCTAAACACACATGGTTATGGGACTGGAGAGAGATGGCTCAACAGTTAAGAGCATTGGCTATTCTCCCAAAGGACCTGGGTTCAGTTTTCAGTATCCACATCAGGTGGCTCACAACTGCCTAAAACTCCACATCCGGGGTACTTAACATCCTCTGGCCTCTGTGAACACCAGCCTACATGTGGTACATATGAACTCACTCAGATGTACACATATATGCACAGAAAAATAAATAAACAAATTGTTGAGAAAAATGTAAGGCCACATGAAAGGCTATACTCATTTCTATCCCACAACCATCCTCTCTCTGTTTGAGCCTGAAGGACACAAGAAACAAGATTTAAAAAGGCAGCTGGCAGCAGGTCATTTCTGCCCCTTGAGGCAGAAATTCAAATTCAATGATAGAATTATATGAAGTTAAAAGATTTATGGGGTATGAATCTAATGCTTTTTTCTTATAGGACTCAAATACCAGTTAATTCCCAGTAGTTACTTTTTAGAGTGTTGCTTATTTATTTGCCATTTCATTCAGATTCTACGAAGTCATTCACTAAGCTAAGAGTGAACCTATAAGGAGGACTCTTCAGTTTGCAAGCAGCAAGAAGATAATGCCTAGTACACAGGGCCATGGACAAGCATTCTGAACAGGCAGGGAGGATCTTCAAAGCAGGCTTTGAAACAATCACAGATCGACAAAGGAAATGCTACTGGGGCTTGTTTACAGGTCCCACTATGTGGTAGTTTGAATAAGAATGGCCCCCATAGGCTCATATATTTGAATCCTCAGTCATTAGGGAGTGGCAGTATTTGAAAGGATTGGAAGGATTAGGAGGTGCGGCCTTGTTGGAGGAAGTGTGTCACTGACAATGGGCTTTCAGGTTTCAAAAAACCTATTAATCACAATGCAGCTACTGCCACAGGGCCTGCCTGAATGCTGCTGTGATGATAATGAACTAAACTTCTAAAACTGTAAGCAAGCCCCCAATTAAATGATTTCTTTCATAACAGCTGCCTTTGTCATGGTGCCTCTTCACAGCAATAAAGAAGTGACTAAGACACACTAGAAAGACACCTAAGAGCTGTGTTGCTATTAATATAACTTCACATTCATTAAGAGGAAATAACTGTAACTCCCTATAACTGAAGATTGCAGAAACACAAACAGTGAGATGGTTTTAATAGGTTAAGTCTGAGATGGCTCACAGGCACAAATGAAGGTGTGATTTCTAATGCAGCAGTGTTCAGAGGGGCCATGAGGGCTCTAAACTCATTAATGAACTAATCATGGCGGGACAGATACTCAGCTGAATGAACCACTGCAAGGGGCTGGAAACTATGGGAGGGACTTAGTTGGAGAAACATGCCATTGGGTGCCACCTTTGAGGGTATATATTGCTTGGTCCCTTGTCTGTTCTGTCTGCTTCCTGGTCATTATAAGGTGAGCAACTTTACTCTAAGTATGCCCTTCTGCCATGGTGCTCTGGCCTAGAAACTACAGAACTAAGTGATTGTGGACAGACACAGTGAGCCAAAGGAATTCTTCTGCCTTTAAGTTGTATTTTTCGTAACCTTTTCCAGCGACAGAGGCCGAGCAACAGAGGCTGACAGAGGATGTAGATGACACAGACACTACGGGGATGACAGTCACTTTATTGGGCTATAAGCAACAAGACTGTACATAGTTAGTTCACTCCTAACTAACGCAACTAGCAAGGATCAAGCAGGCTTTTATTGGATGCCCACAGCTACAAGGCCATGGGAAGGAGCATCTGTATCAATTTGCATAATTCAAGGGCTTTAGAATTTTAGGCATTCTTAAAAGTAAGAACCTGGCTCAGCACTCAGTAGGTAGAGGCAGGTAGATCTTTGTGAGTTTGAGGACAGACTGGCCTAAGACAGCTAGGGCTACATAGAGAAGCCCTGTCTCAGAAAACAAAACAAAACACATCAAACAAACAAACAAGCAAAGAAACCCACAACAAACAAAACAAACAAACACCTTGGCTCAGAGAGATTAAGTAGACTGGATCCAAGTTATCAGTGGGGATATTGGGCTCAGGGTCTTATTCTAGGAAGTATGAGATGGGGGCTACCATAGCCATTGAAGATAGGCTCACCATGTGAAGTGCTATTTTCACTTGTGTATGCATATTTTAATATCTAATTTTAGAAATTAGTAACACGTACACATCTGAATCGACTCTCAGAGATAAAACTATAATAAGTAAACATCACGCTTCACCTCCTCTGAGACTGCTTTGAATAACTGGAGGTCTTGTAACTACTTCCGGAGAATTCTAGAGTTGGAGTAAGTGGGGTGTTCTTGTTCCCATCTAGAGAAGACAGACCTGAGTCTGACCGGTGCCTGCTGCTGGCTGGGCTGCGCTCACAGCTTTACAGTCGTTGCCTCAGCTAACTCTAGGGACGGCTTACTGCTTACTGCGCCTCCGTTTCGTGCAGGCCGGAGGTGGCCACCCTCTCAGGATCACACAGCTGCCCATTCTTGTTACCTAACTGTCTGCTCCCTGACCTGACCCTGGCTACTGCGTCTTTGAATGATTTATCCTTTTCCTTCCTGTACTACAGTGTGAAACATAGGATGGAGAGGCTGATGGTGACTACGGAAGGGTGCCTAGGTAAGGCTATTTCACACTTAAGCAGCTCATTAGCTGGCCACTCTTCTGCCCTGTACAGGTAGCCACAAATGCTGTCTAACAAGAAACTGGAACATGGCATCTCTTCTACCCCACACACTTTTTTTTTCCTCTTGTGCTGGGGATTGAACATGCTAGGCAAGTGCTCTAGCACTGAGCTGCTTTTTTCTCCAGCCCTTTTGTCTGTTTCTTTCATGGTAGGTCAGAATGAGTTTTGGTGGTACAGAGTACCTGGGGATGAAATAATCTTTAACGCTTTACGTTCTGGTCTTTGACTTCTGAGGATGCCGAGAAGAAGCTGCAAAGTGGAGGAGGTGAGCCTGGACCTCACTGGCAAGGCCAACACTGTGAGCTGTGGCCCTGCAGGTTGTCGCAGCGCACGGTTGCGGACGGCTGCGGGAGGCTCGGGATTGCGCCACGTGTCAGTGTTACACGGAGAGCACTCCACGCTGCACGGAAAGCGCACGGGTGCTCTCACTATCCCCAGTCTCCTGAAAGGACGGGGATGAGAATGACTGAGGAATCGTAAAGAACTGAAGAGTGGCCATTTTAATGGTTCACCATTGTGAGGCCCATCTTCTGGGTCCCTGCCCCTCAAACCATCTGACTGTCATCTCTGCACAGAGCAAGCCCAGCTACTCATGTCCCCAAAGTACCAAAATGACTGTCCTCACCAAAGCAGCTGAGAAACCTGGGTAGGGAATATTTCCAATACTGATGAGAAAAGCAAATTTACACTTCTTAGAATCTCACTGCATTCATGGTGAGAATTGCTGGTTGCTTTGTTTTTCTCCTCAGTAAGGAAGGGCCTGTGAATTCTATCGCTGTTTTATTCTCAGGGGAAATCTAATGATCCATTTGAAAGAGAGAAGAAATAGCAATGATTCAAATCCTACTCAGAGGACTGCATCAGACTGAGGCTGAACTATTCAAAACCCAAAGTTCAAGTGAACTAGAAACCACGAGGGCTTGGGCCCCAGGAGAGGCTCAGTTCCCTTAAAGAAAGAAACACGCTCCCTTTTTATTCATGCCTCTGAGACTTCACCTTTATCAAACAGAAACTGAGCACGCCACAACCCAACATGTGGGTGATGCGGACACCAAGAGGAGCACCACAGGTTGTAATTTCCACCTCCTCTGCCAGCATTTTTTAAATAAGTGAATGAGCCTCCTACAACAACCCCATGAACACACCAAGTGACTGTACCTCCTCAGGCAAGCTGACCACCAAGTCATCTTTCGTCTGTCCGACCAGTGCTTGCCAGAAGTATTCACTGCATGCAGCCAGCACGGCCCGGTGGGCCCGGAACTCCTTCCTCTCCACAATCAGCGTCACGTCACAGAGAATGTCCTTCTTCCGCTGGTCATTGAGGCCCAGGAGGATGTTGGCACAGTGGACTGTGGACTCATACACATACATGGGGGAGTCAGGCTTCTCATCCACAGACATGCCGTTCAAACCCTGGAAGCAAGAAGGGATGGGTCAGTATCCCACAGGGTGACAGAGAAGGTAGGAAAGACCATCATAGCCCCTAGGGCCGCCTGCCGTGAGCCTGGCAGGGGGGACAGGATTGCTAAGCAGCACAGTCACTTTGGGTTGACATAACAGAGTCAGAGACATCTGGAAGGCTGCGACCTATTGCTTCGCTCTAGCTCACTGCAGCTCTTTACCCCGCATCTTTTAATGGAATGCCTCAACATCGGGTAGCTTTGATTTCATTAGGAGGATAAAATGGAGCCTGTGTGTATGCATAGTCAAATTACGACCTGAGATTTGTGTTAAAAGGGAAAAAGCATTTTGAAGTATTTGAAATGTTGTTTTGATGAAGTACATGCACGTTCCTAAGTTGAAATTTGGCAAAGATGTTAAGTAGACTAAATATTTAATCGTGAGATATGATTTAATGAATGCACTCAGCTCTATGTGCACTAAAGTGTAGCTGTGGTCTGCTCTTTTACCGTGTTCTCCCCTTCATGGCAGAGTGCGAGCAATGCAGCACAGCAGTCACCAGTCTCAGATATGGAATTGTGCTGTCATTATCCCAGAGGACCCAATGAGCATCTTTAAGGAAACAATACTGCAGCAGGAACCTTGGGAAAAGATACATTCAAAGGGAGATTATTTTTACAAAACTTCTTTGCTTTAGAGAGTACCCTGGGAGTAGTTTTAGAGCGCACTGTCCAGAACTGAAGCAAAGGCTGGGTTTCCAGTAATGCTTATTACCAGCACAAATCCCAGGAGCAGGTCCTTCTTTCTTCTATCTTTCCTCCCACTTTTGACTTCTGAAAACAGCTTTAGTATATGATACTGCAATATCTGGGGTATACAACTGCCCTTTTGACACACGTATGCAACTGGCAAGCTAGCAGTGCCATCAAGATGAATGGACCACCGTCATCCCAGGTCTGCTGCCACCGCTGCTCAGCTTTCTCACAGCACGTTTGCCTCCTACAGAGTTACAGCTAAATGAAAAACACGTATAATTCTGCCTGCATTATCTTACTCAGAGTAATCATTCTGACATCTATTCATGCTGTTGGATATATCAAAAATTTGTTTCTCCTTACACCCCTCTGTTAAGAATGTAAACTAGTGCAGCCATTATGGAAACCAGCACAGAGGTGTGTCAAAAAGCTAAAACTAGCCTATTCTTATGATCCAGATGTACAACATACACCAAACAAATGTGTGTTGGCAAGCTGCAGGGCTACGCACACAACTGTGCTTCCTGCCGCTCTACTGAAATAGCCAGGAAATGGCAAGAGCCTAGATGCCAACAGACAGACTAATGAATAAAAAATCGTGGTGCACAAACACATCAGAATTTTATTCTGCTTTAAGGAAGAATGTCATATTATTAGTAGGAAAATATGTGGAACTGGAAAGTGGAATTAGACTGGGAAAGGCAAATGTTGCATGTTTTCTCTTATATGCATAATATATATTAGAAGGGGTCTATATTAAAAAGAGAACAAGAGAAAATAATAGGGGAAGGTAATATATTTCTCTTTCATATGCAAAATCTAGACTTAAACACACATGCATGTACGCGTGCACACACACACACACACACACAGACATTACATTAAACCAACCATGAAAACAGAAGAGGACAAATTTGGAGGGAAGAAGGTGACCAGGAAGAGGTGGGGAAGGAAGGACAGGTGAGAGCAAGTCGGACATGAGCCAAGTATATGTATGAAAATACCATCGTATCAGGGAGGGAGGTTTAACTGAGGAGAGGACAGGAGGGGAGGGTAGAGGAGGTGCAGGTAACTAACACTAAGGATGTTTAAAAAGGTCACATCTTTAGAAATCTCCTGTTTTACAAGCTTCCTAAATACATAAACATATAAACATGTTTAGCTGGAGGCACTCCACTTGGAGAGTATGCTCCTCCTGGAAGCCGTAAGATGCCAAGTAAAAAGCGCAGTATCAGCTGGGTGATACCTCTCCTCAAGATACTGGCCAGAGGTATCCCAGGCACCCCTAAAACAATACAGGATTTTGTTATTGGTCTTGACTGCTCATCAGAACTTGATGTGAAGAGCCTTTGACTATCTGCCAAAACTTAGCCTTATTGCTGAAGATGCTACACGGATTTGATACAGAACCTGAAGAAATCAGGTTGGTACTGACCACGAGGTTTTCTTTCACCTGGCTAGCTTTCATAGTACTGGAAGTTGCTCTGTAGGCTGCTGGAAGGAAATTTCACCAACAATCTGCGAAACTTGTGAATTACAATAATAACTGGCATGGGAAGATAGAACCACGGGAAATGTTAGGCAGGTAACCAACCTCTTTCTGATTGGATTTAAGTTCTTTTGTCCAGGAGGAAACAAATGCCTGATACTGTGAATTTGAACCCATGGTTAGAGAACTCCTAAGCCCCAGAGCTTAGGAACCTACTGCTATTATTGTGCTAAATAGACTGCCCTCTAAATTCTTCTCTCTCTACCTATAGATTAGTGAGCTCTCAGACTTAACAGAGAAGTTTCTTCTTTGTGTTTCGTCATTTAGCAAACGGTGGCTAAATGCAGAAACATACAGCTGGTCATGGTTGAACTACAGAGAATAAGAGTCATGGACTGCTCAGAACCAATGAGGCAACTGGGTTACATCCCCTGAAAGGCTCAGGGATGACGGTGGAAGGGGGACAGGAAGATGCTAAGTGACAGAAGTTGGGGGGAACTGGAACAAAACAGTATTTTATGTTTTCTGGCAGGACTGAGATGCTCATGAACTAATAGCAGCCTATTAGTTTTTCTAACTATTTCATGGTTGCCTGCAGCCAACATTCTAGCCTAGAGGGAGAAAGAGTTCATGGGTCCCCACCTATAAGTGAGGGGAGCAGTTGATTACTTCCTGGGTAGGGAAAGTCAGTTTTCTTTAATGGTGTGGCCTCTGGTAAGTTCACATAGATGGTCATAAAGCATGTGTGGGCAGCAGAAATTCAATTTGATGAGCTAGTTGAGAGAGAGATACACACACATACACAGAGACACAGAGAGAGACAGAGAGAAAGAAAGAACACATGTAGTTTGGGAGGTATAAGCGGATCTGGAGAAGTTAGGGGAAATACTGGGAATATGATAAAAATACATTGTATGAAATTCTCAAATAATAAAAATATTAAAAAGTAAACACCACAGGCAAAATCCATTATTTTGTACACTCACAAAAAAAAAAAAAAAAAAAAAAAAAAAAATTAAAAAAATAAAAGTTACATTATTGCTGAATTGTATTTACTTCATGGATATAGTTTAAATTTTAAGCCAGTCACATCTGTGGATGGATACTTGGGTTGTTTCCATTTGGGGCCACTATAAACGAAGCTTCTGTGAACATCAGTGCTTATGTTCACACAGCCAGGTACTTGAGTTTCTCCAGGGTAAGGATCCACTGAGGGCAGGTATAAGTTTTTGAGAAACTGCCATTGTTTTCTCCCGTGGTTGTCCCATCCATCTCACTCTTCCTGAGGATGTCTGAGCATTTGGTCCCTGTCATCCTTGCCAGTATGAGGCATGGCCAGTCCTTGTGACTCTGGGCATCTCTGTAGTTGCACTGGGATACCTCCCTGTGGTTCCGGTTTTACAATGGCTGAGATGCCGAGCACTTCCTGTGTTTCTCAGTCATTGCCTATCCAGATTCTTTGCCTATTCACTTTTTAAATTTAATTCTCATGGCAGGGTCTTGCATTAGCCTTGGCTACTTTCAGCTTTAGCCCTTTCCGCTTCTGCTACAGGTGTGCTGGGAACACACATGACACCATGCTGGACTCTTCCCAGTTTGAATCAGGTTGTCTGTCCCCTACCTCAGGATTCTGACGGCTCTTCCTGCTCTCCACGGCCCTCTATGTGACAGGTTACTGTGTCTCCAGTCCTCTACTGATGCCTTCTTCTCCTAACAGTTATTTTCAAAGTTTTCCCTGGATAAAACCCAGTTTTGTCACTTTTAAAAAGTTGTGCTTTGGTGTCAAATCTAAAATAAAATTTTAGTGCTGTATGAATATTAATATTTTCACAGATTCATAACTGAGTATTCAATTATTGTTTTAAAGTATCAGCTGGTGATTTTTCATTGCTAATATATAAATACTTTTTTTTTTCAGTTCTGAGATCAAACCCAGGGCCTCTTGCTGGAATTCTAGGCATGTATTCTACTACTAAGATACATCCCTAGTACTAAGAAATGATTTTGTATCCTGAAACATTGCCTAACTTTCTTATATGTTCCATAGCTATTTCTTGAAGCTTCTCTAAGATTTTTTATAGTTAAGACTAGGCGATCTGTAAATAAAAACATTAACTCCCTTCTGATTGTTCTGGGCAAGCCTCCCCCACGCCTGAGGCGGCTCCTTGCTTACACATGGTCATCAGCTCTCTGAAGAATACCGAAGGGAAATTTTCTGCAATCTTCGGGTTTCTCTGTGCAGCTCCGCTCTCCTGCTTTCTGTCTGGCCACCCCCACAGGTCCAGATGCTGAGCTCCGTCCACTTGGCTTCAGAGTCAAAATGCCTTGCTTTCTTTTTGTTCCACGGTCTGGAAAGCCTCAAAGCAGTTTGCCCGGTGAGGCCTTTCCCATCTTTGAGGGACTGCTATCCTTTGCGGCCTAACACCTGATGTCAGATGCCATTAGGATGTGTGCTCATGTGCTCACGCTCATGGGCAGGTGTGCTCATGTTGATGGAGAGGCCAGAGGACAACCTCAGGTGTGTTCACCAGGAGCCAAACACGTGTGAATTTGCCACAGCATACATGTGGCGGTCAGAGGACAAATTACAGGTAGGTGTCAATCCCTTCCCTCTACCACATGGGCCCTGGGAATGGAAATTACCACCCTCCTCCCTACAGCCATCTCAATGACGCTCAACTTATTAGTTATAATTTTGTTAGTACTTTAAAGCAATAACTTATCACATTGTTAGTAGAGTGTAGGCTACATTCTACTATAAATGCTGC